TTCAAAGTTGGATAGGTGTTAGTGAGTTATGGGTTAGTGATTTGGTTCTGAAGCATTAAGAAGTACATGCTTGTGTTGAGTGTTCTGGCCTGGAAATATTACAGTAACTATTACATGCTACTCTGATTTGGTTTTGAAGCAATATGTAATACTTAACCAATTCTTACACCATGGCCTGGGAATATTACAATATTACACCAATGAAGGCCCGGGAATATTATAGGAACCTAAAACCATTTGGATAGGTCTTCCTTTAAACCATTAAACTCATTGCACTTTCTGAAACTTAGCATTGAACTCTAAAACCATTGAACTCTTTGCACACAAATCATAACTTAACACATTCACAGTATACTAACTCAACAAAAGTTTTCATTAAGAAAGTAAAAGAGTACATTACATAGAAGCAAAATTGTACAACAACAACAACATAGTACTAATACACCAACAACACTCTCCTTCTCCGACATTGGTTTTTAAGATTAAATACACTTGAACTACTCTACCAAAACATACAACACTACTCTACCAGACTTTACCAAAACATCGAGCAAGACTCCAACAACAATTAGCAGTAATCAATTTAAATTCCCATACAAGACAACAACAAACAAGACCCAAGATATAATCAGACATATATATATATGTGCACATTTCTCTCCTTTTCCATGCTTGCAAACTGAAGTTTGCAACTCTTCGATTTTACCTCTCATCTTTAGCTTCTTCTTTTTCAACTTTGCAATCTTCTCTTTTAACTTTTTTTTTTTCTCTTCAATCAGCCGGTCAATTAGACTTTCCTTCTCAGTTATTTTCCAGTCATCCCCTTGCATACAACGGTATTCCTCAACCCATTGGAAGAATGAGCAGTCAACTTTCTACACAATTAAAATAAGTGAAATAATCTCATTCATTAAATAATCCAAAATTTTCATATATAAGTAGTGAAAAATATTTGAACTTACCGGCCATAACGCACAACCATAGAATCTTCGACCAATGTTTGCCCAAGATTTCACAGTCCTAGGTTTCGAATATACGTTGTGGTAACACTGAACGGAATTTTGACTCTTCGTTTCTTCGCTCCTTCCCCATGAAGACGACCCAGAATTCGATGCCATTGAATTTGTATGCTTTTTCCGCCCCAGACAAGAGGCAGAAGAAAGAAGAAAGAAGGATATCGAAGAAGACTGCGTTGAATCGCTAAATTGTGTGGTAAGAAGATGAAGGAGGATGCATAATACACTAAATAAATACACACGTGCCTTATCACGTGATATAATAACCAGATATCATTTAGGCTAACCGGTCATAGTTTAATTAGGGAAGATTACCCCCTAAGTTGGGGTTAAACAGATATAACTCGTTGTTGGGGTTATTAACAGCGGACTGCCCATAGTTCGGATTATTCCATTCAATTTTTCCTTTATTATATTACACAATTTACATATCCATTTGTATTTATTAGATTAACCTTTTTATGTAGTTAGACCTATTAGACCCATATCAACGGTCTAACCCATGTTTTCCAATATATACTGCTTTGGAAGGCTTCTAAACCCTAAAACATTCATTCAATCCCCAACACATTCATCTTCTCCATTAATACAATCTTTCTACAATATCTATTAGTATCATTTAGTTTGATCTAATATAGTATGATATAGTTTGATCAAGTAATGCATGATTTAATCTGTGATAATGTTGATGTTAATTGTTCCAGCCCAAAAGTCTAACATAATACGTTTGGAGGTGGATGGATTTTAATTATATAAAAAGTATATGGGAGATAACGAAGTTGAAAGAACAAAGCATATACTCTTTGTATTAAGCTCAGAGTTAGTGATTAAGCTCTCACAACGTACTCAGGAAAAAAGTATATGTTTCCCTCCTGAATCTCTATATTGCATGAATTCATGCATCTAGTGCTCTTTCCATCATTTCAAAATTTTCCCGCAAGATTGGGGATCTACCCATACTCCAAGACCCCAAGCTATTGCGGAAGGCATTGCATTGACTGACCTGTCTTCTTTGAATGATTGTTAAGACTCGGGCTTCCATCATAAAAGATCAACTTAATAGGAGGAGTAGCTCAAAGTCTTATATAGTGTTTAATTGTTTTATAGTTTTCCAGTGTGGGACAAATGCTTCAATGGACAATATCGGGGTGTATAAATGGGTCAAACAGACCCTTAACAAGCTATCCTTAATCGTGGGTGCTAAACAAGCAGTCAAACCACAACCGGACTTGGCTCTGATACCATGTTAAGACTCGAACTTCCATCCTAAAAGGTCAACCTAATAGGAGGATTAGCTCAAAGTCTTATATAGCGTTTTATTGTTTTATAGCTTTCTGGTGTGGGATAAATACTTCAACAATGATATCGCCCATGTGCTTGGTTGCTCCGCCTTGAAAATACCTTGGTCGACATTGTTGTAAGCCGATCAGTTAGTAGGCCCATTCGTCTTGGCCTCCTGGGATCTTGCACAACCTTTATAGAGTTGGGCCAACATACTAACATAAATTATTTGGTCTAGTTCTCTCAGGTTCATCCTAGGATGGAGTGATATCTTAACTACGTCATATGTGTGTGCAGGAGTGAGTTTAAGTAAAAACAGTCTTCCCTTAAAATGTGAGAATAAATTTTAGCCTTTGACCACTTGAAATGGATGAATTAGATGAAAGTTGATAGTTAATGATTAAAACTTGATAGTTGTAAGGAATAAATGTATTTAGATTTTGATGATGCTAGATTAATTAGAATATTAAAGTACCCCCTTTTGTAAATTGTATTAGAATTTTTCTAAGTGTAAGCACTAGAGTATTCGACTGGACAGAAGTGCTCGAGGCCTTCTTTACTTGCCCCTCTGTACAAAGCACCAGAAGCCCTCACACTTAGCTATTTCTCAAGCTAGCAAAGCCGATTAAACTAACGGAAGATTCCCTCAATGGCTAGGAGCTCCCCGACAGAAAAGCTACAAGACAAGCATTTAATGCTCATTTAATGAGCACCATACGCTGAGAAGTTAAAACTGATGATTGACCAAGATTCCTAGAGAATAATATCCCAAAATAGCAACTCGCCTACTATGCCGGTCCAACCGGTCAACTCTACAGGACGTGCATTTAATGCAATTGTCACCCTCCTCCAACGGGAAGACAACCCTAGTAGATATGATACTATACGAAGAACAACCGGATAACATTTGCTCTCTCGACTAACATTCAAAAAGCTTTCTTGAGATCTCATCGTCATCACCTTCAACAAGAAAAGTCTTACGTTGGAAAGACTCTGTTTTCACATCTTCATACTCCAACAAGAGCAAAGTTCCTCCAGTTCTTCAACACTTCAAACACTTCATCTACACATGAAGGACGTCCAAATCCTCTGTTGGAGAAAATCTTGTTTTTTACAAAGCAATCTTCTGTTAAAGAAGGACGTCCAAAGTAATTAACTGGAGTAGTGAAGTGGAGATACTTCAAGGAAACTCAGTGAAAGGACCAGTCTTAAAGGAAGCAAGGAAGTGCATCCCAGGAGACATCTACACTTGAAGAAGATGTGGAGATCTTCTTAAGTGCTAGGACTTAAGCGTTGTAACCTGTTTCTTTACAAGCTTAGTGGAACAGTGGATTAGAGGAACACGTTGTTCCTTGAACCACTATAAAAATCCCTGGTGTTATTTACTTACTGCTTTTAATATCTGCATATACTTAAAACTGCTTAACTCCACAGACTTGGTCTCTGTGTTCAGCAGAACTGGTCTTGTGAGTTAACAGAAGGCCTACTGCCTTTGCATCTCTCTGAGGCTAACCGGACAGAACCCCTATCAGAAGGCCATCCGTTGCCAGTCTGTTCTCCAACAAAACATGCTATTCTGTTAAACCTTGGTACTTAGCATGAAAAAGTTAAAAACCAGAACAATCTATTCACCCCCCTAGACTGTTCCTTGTATAACCGGGACCAACAATAGTTAATGATTAAAAGTGCACTCATGGGTGTTAAAAAAGATTATCAAAACTTTCTAACTTGTGCACTTTTTATGTTGTATTGTATTGCACGTTTGTACTTTACATGTGCATTTTTTGACTCATTCTGATACACATCAATCACAATATTTTCATTAAAAGTTCTTCATTATTATCAAAATGTCACCGCGTGTTCAGCTTAAAATTGGATCTTTTCCATTCGTTTTTTCACATCAATGGCCAATATTAATTCATATTTTTTTACTCAGGAAGTACTTTTTAAATTTAAACCAAACTACACACATAATATAGATCAAATACAAATCCTTCTTAATTTACAAACTACAAACTCATCTTAACTATTTGATGAGTTGATCTAAAGGCTATAAAGGCACATTGACATTTTTTGTAATCAAAACCAACTTTTTTAAGATGCAACTATTTGAATTTAATATGCAACTGCTATTTTATGGTTGAATAATATTCAACATTTTGAATCTCAATATAGAATACAAGTAACGTAAAAATGCATCGTGCAAACGTTTGCACAATAAACACAATTTCTACCAGATCCGCCCCTATATATATTACTTATACACAGTTGTTTCCGTAAAAATGATTTCCTTTTAACTCAGTTCTAAAGTACTGGAGTTTTCATAAGCAAATATATGCGAACAGGAGTGTAGAGATTAAGATCTCGATGATGTGTTCTAAACATATTGGAAAAGCTCCCAAAATATGAGTAGTATATTTCTATTTCAAAAATAGAAGTAATTACATCGAAAAAACTGTCATGCTTGATGTATGATAATGCAAAAACAGGATAGTGATTGTTTCTTTAGAGGATAAAAAATGGGAAAAGGTGCAAATAGGCCCATGTACTAACAAAAAAAGGTCAAATAAGCCCTTATTTAGGAGGTTCTGTCCGGCCGTCGTCATTTGGGATGGTTCCCGGTGGAATTTTTTGATGAAAATTTTTAGCATCTTATTCATCAATTCTAGTTAACTCATACCAAATTTCAGCTAAAACTTCGATCGGGAAAGCATTCAAATGAATTCGATAACTGCGCAGTTATCTCCATATAATATAATGGATAATGGATTCCTGGGCTAAGAATAATAATAACCGTACACATACATAAATATGAAGATTGAAGAGGAGTAGGAAGTACTGCACTACATGCATCAAAATAAAAACACCATCCGTCCGTCCATGATCCCACTACATACCACTGCACAATTAATTAATTTAATTGCAGGCGAAAGAATTTAGAAAAAGGCGCTGGCTAGGGGGCGCCAGTTTGAATGATTTTGAGAAGAGAAAGAGCGATGGCGGTCAGCTGAAAAGTGTCGTTGTTGCGCTTAGTCAGGGGAGAAACGACGCCGTTGAATTCGCTGAAGCCATCCTCGCAGGTTGTGGCGGCGTCCATGACGGCGGAGAGGCGGGTGTTGGCGTCGGCGAAGCGCCGCGAATTGAAATCCTTCATGGCCTGCTTGGCGTCGGGGATGGCGCCGGCGTACATGTCGAGGCAATCGGCGAGACACATTCTGAGGCGGCCGCCGCCGCGGTTCGTCTTCAGCAGATGCTTGATGTAGCACCTGGTGTCAGTGAGGTTGTAGCGGATGAGCCTGATGTCGATGGTGGCGAGGCCCCGGAGCGTGGCGCACTCGCTGGCCGGAGCGCCGTGGAGGGAGGAGGCGCAGAAGCCGTACTGGATGTTGATGGGGTCGGCGCTTGCGATTGCTTTGCACGTTTTGTTGATCAGATCGAGGGCTGTCACGCCGCCATTGGCATTCATGATCAAAAGACAGAGGAGGAAGAACAAGGGCAGGGCCATGATATTTTTCGTTGAGTTGAATGAATTCGGTGGGTATGGCACGCTCTTCTTATTTTGCCCGCCCGCCTCGTCTGCCTTATTTATAGAACAATACGACCACTGCAGCGGGCAGGGCAGGGCAGACTTGCTTCGCATTGCCCCAGCGCCCATCTCTCATCATTCCTCCATCCACACATAGGCACCCTACTCTCTTTCTGAATTAATGTCTTATAATCGAAGGATTTAGGAGGTGTTTGGAAATGCTTCTCCTTCTTTTTTTTAAAGCAGAAGTAGAATCACAACCGGTTTTCAGAAGCTGGTACTTCCCAGCTTCTAAAAAAATTGATTCTGGAGAGTAAATTAGAGCACGAAGTGTTTCTGGAATTTCACCCAAACACTTTAGCTTCTGCTCCTGCTCCCTGAAGGAGCAGAATCAGTTTTAAGAATCAGATCCAAACACCCCCTTAATAGAGTGAGATATTTCCCCCTATTTTGAAATTTTATCACGCCATTAGGATTTGAAAAATAAATTTACAAGCAAGTAAGATGGGTCAAGATATTTGTAGCAAGCGGATCGTATCTTATTAAATGTTAATAAGGGTCTGTCTACAACATACTTCAACTACAAGTCCTGAGGCCGTTCATCTAACTGGTTAAGGAAGAGATAGATAATTGCTATTTGATAAGGACAATAAGCTGTCAACCATTTACAATGAAATAAATGTTACTATTTATACTACCAAGGGGTAGGTGGCTGTGCTGACGTGGAGGACTGTGGATGGCAACCTCCCAATCACCAAATCTACTGCATTAAATGTGTCTCCCGCTAATATCTTGGTTTCCCGCCAAGGCCTGAGGACGAGTGTCTTCGAGGTCTGCGCACTTTTGTTCTACTGGAGAAAGGGCTAAACTATTGTGTGCCTCATTTGGCACTTGGGGGGCTATGGTCACAGAGGCCGATCGTCTTGCTGGGTTAGACGAACGTCTTGCAGCACCTTGGTCCATCACGGCTAACTGCCTCTGGTGGGCTGCATGCTCTGAGGTCGAGCATCTTGGGCCTTCATTCACTTGGGCCTTGATGATCTTCGTTAAGGGGGTAATGGGCCGACCCCTGGTTAGGCCATTAATCTAACACAAGTCCCCCCACTTCTGATGTTTCGAGCGGCGCGGGACATAAGGAATTAAAAGTATTTTCGCCGAGTCGTGCCCTACTGACGCTCCTGATGTGACAATTATTGTCTGACGACGATTCTCGGGATCCTAGGTGACGGTTACGGCGGAACGGTACAACTTCCAATGCGAAGGTAATCATTACATACGCGTCCATTGAACTCCGTGCGACACGCGTCTAGGGATACACTCCTCGCCCTCATATTCCAATGTTAGTGGCATGGGATGGATCATGGATGCAGTATTAATTATAAGGTTGCTATTATAATAGAAATAGAAAAATGACTATTACCCGTCCCACTAACATTGAGACATGAGAAGGTGGTGCGGTTATTAAGAAAAGTGAGTTAATATGATTGATATTGAATTGATAATAAAGTAAGAATAATTTAAAACCGGCCACACAAACTTATTAAATTTGGTATGAGATAGTCTTAGTTGGATGCACAAAAAAAGAAAGATGAGACAATCATAGGTGGATGGAGGAAGTATTTCATATTCTCTTCGTCCCATAAAACTTGGCCAAAGGTGAATAATAAAGTAAAAGGTGAGTGGTTCATATTTATGTGGAGGTGAAAGAAATAATTTTATCCACATATTTGTTATTTTAAATGGAAATAATAAAGTTTTTAGGGAAATAAAATAATTGGCCAAATTGCATGATTTAGAGGGAGTAACAAACTCTATTATATTCCCTCTAAATTAAGTAAAAACTTATTTCCAGAACAGGATATTTACATCCTTATTATCCAATCTCCAATGTAATCTGCACTTCACCTTGTCCACCCTTTAACTAGTCATTCAATGCTATTTAATTTTGGTGTATTTTGTGAATATAAAAAAATGAGCATGCAGGAAATAGAACCCAATAGAACCCAAAACCATGCAGTATAAGGTAAGGTGCGGACCTTTAGACTAACTTGTTACATTTTCTCCTTTATATTACATATATTTTAAATCTATGAGTGTAATAATTTAACTCGTGTATTACTTGCCGTTTGAAGATATTTTACTTCTTCCTCAAATAGTTAAAAAATATAATAATAAAAATTAATTGAGAAATTCAATTAAAAAGTAAAAATCGAACCCAAGTAGAGCTCGAGTCGAGCCTGAACTCAAACGATATACTTTTTACATTAAACTTTTACATTTTTTTACATGTAAAAGTTTTACATTAAGCTTTTACATGTTTTTTACATTAATAATGTATTATTTTCTCATATTTGGGATGTGTATGGCCTCACATGTCATTTATTCAAAATATAGTTGATGGAGTATATTCCCGTACACCCCAGGGGTATCACAATCACCGATAGAAAGCATTGAAGGTCCGTCAAGAGGCGTAAAAATACTAAGTCCACAATCTGAGACTGAGACCGACCCTGACCCCGACCGCCGAGGTCGGGAATATTCCAAGCTCAGCAACCAACCGAACTCGGTGGATAACAAAGTCAATCGACCCCGACCCGAGGTCGGGAAAACATCAGGCTCAGGAATCAACCAAGTTTGGCGAGTTATGAGCCCGACCTCGATGCACCCCGAGGTCGGTACCAGATCTGACCCCAAGAGTCAAGCACATGGTCAACGATGATCGAGCGAAGTCAACTATCTCCAGGACGAAAGACAAAAGGGCGGATCCTCTCAACATAAGTCCGAGCTCTCAGATATCGACCTCAGTAGTCACCAAAGTCAGGACAAAATGCCATGTACTTAGATATAATCCGCAATGATTTGTCTCGCAAGGAGACACTGCCACGTCACTCTTCGCACCAAAGGAATATTCCAGGTTCTCCACGTGCACCCACGCAAGACTTCTGGCGGGAATTCTGTTAGAAGAATAATCAATCAGCCAGCTATCAAAGGTTCTCTCTCCAATCAGCTTTACACGTGACTGCTTCTCATCAAAGTAGGTTGTTAGTTTGTTAGAATAACTTTACACGTGTCCTTCTTCTATGTAACACCCCGGCCCCGTGAGACCCGAGGTAGTTACTTCGGAGCAATAGTACTGTCCTCACAAACCGCCACTAGCCTTTTACGCGCACTTTGTCCTCACTCGTGCGCGCCCTGAGAAACTTCCCAGGGGGTCACCCATCCCAAGACTACTCTCGTGCAAGCACGCTTAACTTTGGAGTTCTTGGTGATGAGCTCCCTTAAAAGGAGATGCATCTTGTTGGTATGAGTAGTACTATTAATCCATTTATATTAAATCTCAAGTGTTACATTCTATTAGACTAGCATCTTTGGCTTGACCTCCAAGTATTTCCCTTTTTCCCTTAGTATAAATATCACCTTCCAACCTGTGGAAAGGGATGCTGAATCTGTTGCACTCTTGAGACTAATAGACAAAGCCTTTTCCGATCCATACTCTCTGATCAGTTCGCTCACCTTCCTACTCTCGTTCTCGGTGGATTCCGGCCACCCCCGGTCCGACGATCCATCAATAGTATTGAGTTATTTTTAATTCATATCTCTAATTACTTTGTATTATAATTTTCAATTGAGTTTTTTAATTGAATTCCTCAATTTAAATATTTTATTATATCTTTAATTATTTGAGGAAGAAATAATACAGAGTATATATCTTTAAAGAAACGAGTGTTACACCAGTTAAACTAATATATTCATGAACTTAAAATCTATATATACTATCGTATTAAATACATACATACGAGAAATTGCAACATGTGAGCATTTTAGGATATTTTCTTTTGAATTGAAATTTGTTGGTCTGATCTGGTCTGAAATGGTCTCATTTTATCTAGTAAATGTCTCATCTCTATGTATTTTATAATTGTTCAATTCAGATCTGATCCGGTCTGGCCTACTTAAATCTGGTATGATCTGGTCTGGTTTGTTTAAGTCTGTTCAGATCTGTTTAAGTCTGGTCTAATTTGTTGTGGTCTGAAAATGAAAATAGTCCCAAAGAAAACATCCTTAATCCAATGGTCTGTGCCTTACCTTATACTGCATTGTTTTGGATTAAATTCCTAGCATGCCCACTTTTTTATATATATTTGAAAATACACCCAAATTAATTAACATTGAATGTCTAATACACCCATAAAAACGTTGCAATCTGATCAAATAAATAAAATAATCCTAGTTAAGAACGGAGTAGTAATATCTGATAGGCAATTGATCATTCATTTTTGGAAATAGTGTACGTGTACCTAAACAGAAAAATAAATACGGAGTATAATATTTTGTTATAAGAAGGGACGAAGGGTCGACATATATATATACTGACGTTGGAATATGCAAATAAATATTGGGTGAATATTCTCAAACCCATCATCTAATCTAATTTATTATCCATAGTTGGATTTGACTTATAACATCTACAATTCTACACCCTCCATTACAAACCTACGTAGTAGAAAATAGAGAGGGTGAGGTGGGATGACTTGATCACCCCCCAATTTTCTTCCTTCCGGCTTTATCTACAAACAGCAAGCCCATCTCACTCGTGAATATGGGGAAAAGCATTTCTTACTTCATCCTTTGAATTAAGAAAATTACTTGCACTTCAATGTAAAGCATAATGATGATTAAGTTTCTTGAAGCTAACGATGTTGGTCAAGTAACATCAACCATTATGATTATGATTATTAAAGTAATGATAGTATAGGCTCCCACGAGTACTTAATTTGATATTGCTCACAAGCAATGAGGTGACGTAGCCTTGCTTCATCAACCGCCGGTTTTGGGTCCATTTTTTTTGCTTATACTCCCTCCGTTTTTATTTGTTTGACATAGTTTGACTTCTCAGGGAAATTGTTATTGAGGGGTAAATTTTACAGTTTAGACACTGTTTGAAAACTATTTGGACATTTTTTGCCACTGTTTGGACACTGTTTGACACTATTTTGCACTGTTTTGTTTACCAAATGGGAAGTGTGACATTCATTTTGAAACGTCCAAAACAGGAAAGTGTGTCAAACAAACAGATGAAGTATGTAATATAATATATGGTCAACTTAAAAAAATCGTACCACATATTTTACAACCATGATTATATATTTTTCTTTCATAAATATAACTTTATAATGTTAAATAAAGGGGAAAATAATTTAAACATCTCATACTTTGAAATGGTGTAAGATAAGTATCTCATACATGCACATGTAAT